CAAAGTATAAGGTAGATGCTGATCGATGCAGGAGAAGAAAAGTATTTATTAAGAAAGCTGCTATTTGAACAAACATAAGCTCCGAGTCGAGCTTCTTTCAATGAGGGGAGATTGATATAGGACGCATAACAATCAAATTCATGGAGAAGTGGTATATTCATGAGTCAAATGCAGATACGGATGAATTATTGACTAACCGTAAAGAAACAACTATATCTTTCAATCCGAAAGGCGGATTTTGACATATTATATGTAAAAATCACCTATCTCGATGAGACGGAGTCAATCAGCTTGGCAGAATCCCACAATCCCATCAGTAACATTCATTTTTTGTTGGAAATAAATTTAATATTGGAGTCAAATTAGATTAGGAAACAAATTCGATTTTGATTCATGATTTGTTTTCTCTATTATAGGGAGTCATTTTAGGATAGGATTTCATACTTTCTATTTCTTTGTAATTCTAGTCTTATTAGAAGTTTTTATCAATAAAATTATCTTTTATATTACTTCATGGATTCGAGGTTGTCTCTTCGTGAATTCGAAGATTGTTCTTTGTGGATTCAGAGAACACTGCTTGGTAGATTTTAAGGTTTATCACTTCTAGCTTTTAATAGCTATTCTTGGTATTAATAAATAAAATTGATAGGTTTGGCAGGCATCGGCAAAAATTGTTAGAATGCTGAAAGCAACATCCCTGACAGGACATTGTCGTCAGTGTTGTTCACATGCCTAATAGCAAATGCCCTTAGGGATGATCCCGTCGCTGTTGTCAAGTGTCCGTCAGCAATGTGAACGTCGCTGACGAGCAGATGTCTCACATTGCTAATGGGGGAGCCGTCAGTAATGTTGAAAATTTTTGCTCCAAAAGTTATCTTATCTTTAGGAATTTTTTTTACCAGCACCCCTTTCACCTCTACCCTAAAACTTCTGCGCCCCTCCGTTGTTATTGTTAGACCCTAGAGGGGGGTTGATTAGGGTCTTATGCTAATCTAATCTGATTTTATGCAAATTAAAACTAATTAATAAATTGTTCTTGCAAGATAGATATACAATATGTTACAAGCAAGAATAAGCAATATGAACAAATGAATATATCCTAGCAATGAGATATTACAAATATATGAGCAAGGATATATAAACTAACACAAGGGTAAAATAAACAATCTACAAAAGAGATAGGGCAATATGAAGAGCAATACACAAAGGCGATATAAGATATGAATACAAGAATAAGAACGCCAATGCAATCACAAACAAAACGATATGATCACGGAGTTCGGTCTAACCACTTGACCTATGTCTCCGCTCCTCACCTCGAGGAGATCTCCACTATCATAACAACCAGGTTTTCTACGCTTACCCGAACAATGTTTACACCACACAATACGGTTTTCTAGTTTACCAAAAACTCTACAACTAACACACTCTTGCAATCTCACTCTACACCCTCTCAAGTGTTGAACTAGACATGTCTCCCTCAAGTGCTCAGATACAACCTCTTCCTAGGTTCGTCAACCGACGCCACTCCTCTTGGGACGATCCCCGACTCTCGCCACACACTTCTCTCGGTGTACAAGTGTATTACAAAATGATCTCACAATTAAGCACAATACAAAGTGTTTGTTCTCTATAATGGATGAGAACGAATTATAAGCTCTCTCTCTAAGTTATATAATCCCACAACCCAATTATACTATGAATGTAAATACAATAAGCTCAATGGTTGTGTATGTGTAAACAAAGAGAAAATAAAATTAACTAAACTCAATATGAACACTAGCTTAATAAAATAACAATCAAACAATATAAAATATAAAGCTAGATTGAGTTTAGAAAACTTCTCAATAGGTCAAGAGTGGAAGGAGAAGAGTTGGATGCTCAAATACCAAATAGATGATCTCCTCAAGCTCTTGTGGAATTGATTCACAAAACCGAAACACTCAAATGCTTAAAAGCTTATAAACACATTTTAAACAAACTTAAACCATTGATTAAAACTTTATTAAACCTCTTGGATTACTTATGAAAACTGAGGTATAAGGGGGTATTTATATGAAACCCCAAAGCCAAGAGAAAGCCAAGAAAAGACCAAAAAACCAGCTCAACAACGGCTCTAGAAACTAACCGTTGGAGCAGATTTGATAGTGCGGCGGTCGACCGCTGTGGTCGACCGCGAAGGTCATCAAAGCAGAGAAAACTTCCAGAGAGTTCGACGGTCGACCATGGCGATCGACCGTGGGAATTTTCAACTTGACGGTCGACCACCACGGTCGACCGTGAAAGTTTTTGCTGCCCACTCAGAAAAAAACATAGGTGCGGTCGACCATGACGATCGATCGCAAAATGATACAAAATATTTCAGGTTTAAAAGTGAAATGTTGATTTTAAAACCCTGTTTAAAAATAACAAATAAATTCCAAAAATTATGAAACTTTGGGAAATGATTGTAGGCATGATAATAAACATGTTACAGAAACTGGTTTTTAAAAATGACTTCCCAAATGAAAAATATCATCATTTTGCAAAATAGTCCAAAACATAAAAATGTAAACATATGAATTTTGACATTTTGGCTAAACCATATTTTGAAACAATACAAAATGATTTAACAGACTTAATAGAAGATGTAAACTAATTGTTATGAAGTCTATAAATAATGAATATAGTATTTTATCAAAATACACATATAATACACTAAAACATGATTTCATGGAAGTAAATAAAATTGATATTGATTGTAGGCGTCAAAAAATGCTAATAGATATCCCAAACATAGAGAAGATCACTCAAAAAATCACGAGAAAGGATTTCATACTGTTTTTGGGAAAAATCAAAACAAGTATGAACTGTCTCGCCAGCGAGACAGGCTTTGCTGTCTCGCCAGCGAGACAGTATTTGCTGTCTCGCCAGCGAGACAGACTTTGCTGTCTCGCCAGCGAGACAGACTTTGCTGTCTCGCCAGCGAGATAGTATTTGCTGTCTCGCCAGCGAGACAGTGTTGAAATGGTTAAAACCACCTTTGTAACTGCCCTACACGTGTCCATTAACTGCCAAGAGACGTGGGAAACATTGTGGGCGAAAATCACGTGGATAACTGCCAAAATAACGGAGTTTGAAACGTGGGAGAGCGGTTACAGCGAGAAACTGTCATTTTCCAAGACAGTATTTACTGTCTCGCTGGGCGAGACAGCAAATTTACTGTCTCGCGGGTCGAGACAGCAAACACTGAATGGTTAAAACCACCTTTGTAACTGCCCTACACGTGTCCATTAACTGCCAAGAGACGTGGGAAACATTGTGGGCGAAAATCACGTGGATAACTGCCAAAATAACGGAGTTTGAAACGTGGGAGAGCGGTTACAGCGAGAAACTGTCATTTTCCAAGACAGTATTTACTGTCTCGCTGGGCGAGACAGCAAATTTACTGTCTCGCGGGTCGAGACAGCAAACACTGTCTCGCCCCAGCGAGACAGCAAACACTGTCTCGCCGTACTGATTTCTATGATTGCTGAGTCTTTGCAGTTACAGACCCTTGAGGCTATAAATACCCCCCTAGGGTCACTTCTGACGAGGATCGAGTATTTGTTAGAGCATTCCAGAGCAGAGAGAGCAGAGATTTGAGTTCTTTTCTTGCAACGCCTTGAAATTAAGCTTCGACTTGATTTTAAGAAGAACGACTATCTTACTTCGATAAGATATCGTTTCAATTTCTACTTCGATAACGAAGTTAGAATCATAAGCCCCCTCTTCACGATCTGTGAATCGGCGGTCCACGAACCAAAGCGTTCCCGGCACAGGCAAAGTCCCACGAAAACGAGAATTGATAGACGATTTTCGTGTTTGTTTCTCAAGAGTTGTAATTTTTGATTTGTTGTGTAGAAAAAGTCTTATAAAAAGATTATTCTTTCGAATTTGTTGTAATCGAACAAAGTTATAATGAATTCCACAGCAGCGACTTTTGAACCAAACATTGATGAAATCATATAAATGCATATAAGTATGAAACAAAAATATATTTTCCAATTGTATTCAATTGTTTCATAATAAAACTTGAAAACTATCAAACCAAAACATATGTATATATATAACTATATATATACATGGAAACCAATAAACGTGTATGTGTATATTATATTGAGCTTAAGGTACTAACACACATAATATAAACTCCTAAACAAAGCCAAAATCCCCTCTCGATTCGTTCCATGAACGAGAGGTCCACAAATTGAGCGATCAAACCTTCCTACAGTTAGGATCGTCTCAAAATTCCCACTTGGTCAAACCTTACTACAGTTAGGACCACAACCAAAATCTCCTTTCGATTCATTTTTGCGAACGAAAGGTTTACTTTTGAATTGAGTAATCAAACCTTATGACAGTTAGGGTTATTCAAACCAACCTATTTTCTCTAAGTGGAGATTCCACTGTGAGTTTCCTTTTCATCAGGAGATAGAATATAAAATTCTCCCTCTCCGATTCTGGGTTTATCTCTACCAACAAACAAGAGACCAGGAGATAGAATATAAAATTCTTCCTCTCCGATTCTGGGTTCATCTCTACCAACAAACAAGAGACCAGGAGATAGAATATAAAATTCTTCCTCTCCGAGTATGGGTTTATCTCTACCAACAAACAAGAGATTGAGAAATGGAATATACAATTCTTTTTCTCTCCGATTTTGGGTTCGTTGTCCTATATAGGAAATGCAACCTATTCACACTTTGAAATCCATGTTGTTCACACATGGGGGATGTTATCTCTATCCCTTATTAGAGATAAGCCTACATCTAACACATGTAGCCTACATATTCAACAGTGTAGTTCAAAGTCTAAAAGAGTTTAATTCTTTTAGCGCAACGTTATATGTGAAACGGACTTAGATAATTCACATACTAGCCCGATTCAAACGGTAATCGGTAAAGGTATATCAAATCCGTTGATGGCTGAGGATTTGCCAAAAATCCTATAAGTATTATGGTTATTTATTCTAAATAAGAATGAGTAATCATAATAAAAAACCTCAATGAGCAAAAAGATTCAATATAATGAGCAAAAAGGTTCACTATATTGACCAAGAATTTTCAAACAAAGCTACAAACAAAAATATAATGTTCTCCGATTACAAGAGTTTATATTGACTAATTTGATTTTCAAGTTTTGACAGCTCTAACGCATAAGTCTGTTCAAGCTCAGCCGTCAATTTAATTTTGAAAGCTTCTTCATCAACACTTTGAAGCGCGGCGACCTCTTGTTCCTTCTCAGCAATTATTTTATCTTGAAAGTTCAGTTGCTGTAACAGGTCTTCCTCAACATGAATTTCCTGCGTCAACTCAGACTCCAAGACATCAAGAGCATCCTTGGCCATTGCAAGTTCCTCCTCTAAGCGAGCTATTTCCGCTCGACTCGATTTTATATCTCGGCGTAGGTTGACCTTGGCTTGTGTCCTTTTGCCAATATTCACCCTAAGCTGGTGACTATGGGCTCTTAATTGTTGGAGTTCAGAGTTGGCAGATTCTTGAGAATTACGCCACGCTTGCAGCCTGGATTCCATATGAGAAGCGATGTAAAAAGGTACGCCTTTGGTGCGAAGAGTTTGCAGAAGTTCAATATGTTGCCTCAAATCAACCAAATAAGCGGTGACTGAATCGGCTAAGTCGTTATACCCTTCCTCTCTGAACCCTGATATAAAACGCTCAAAAGATTTTTTATAATTCTCAAAATACGATCTTTTGAAGAGAATGCGATCGACCATAGAGTTCAAAAAGGAGATGAAGCCTTGGAGATTAGAGCAGATAACAGACTTGTCCGGATCGTCATCAACCAATAACGCTTGGATTTGAGTTGATAATGATGAAGGAACTGCGAGAAAGTCAAATAAGTCAGTACAGTATATATATATGCATACAAGACAACAAACTAAAGCATACCAAATTCGACGGAAGAACCTTCAGCATGACTTGGTTCGCTCAAGGATGATAATCTGGATTCCTGAACAGTCAAGATTGGTTCAGGAATGGTAGCTGTTGATGCACCCGCTACATCAGGGACTTTTTCAACTAAAGTCTCAGAGGACGGCGGGTCCAAACTAAGAGACTCTTTAAGAGGAGATTCTACAAACAGGAGGATTACAATGAGCATAATGATAATCCGAGCTTGAAACAAACGATAAATGAAACTCACCAATTCTAGTCACAACATCGGCCGATGTACCAACTTCTTCAGTTGGTCTCGCTTTTGTTGCAACTGGACTAATCTGGGGAGTGACAGTGACTTCTATCATCATGGGGTCCATAGGAGTAGAAGGTTGAGGTTCAAGAACTGATGATTGCAAATCAACTTCGGTTCTTGTCCACGGCACAAGTTCACTACTCTCCAGTCGATCAGACGTACCAATGATTATAGTAGTATCAGTTCCAGCAACTGGTCCTATAATTCAAATACTTATATGGTTAATCAAGTTAAAATATATATGTATGCATATATGGAGTTTACAGAATAAAGGTCTTACTTTCAGAAGGACCTGCTTCTGTTGGACCGACTCCAACGTTGGATTCCGTGGCTGCACCAGGAGTTTTCCCCGATAGTAAGTCGGAGATATACTCATGGTCGCCTTCAGAGAGATTGAAATCGAGGTGATGTTCATTGAATTCCTCGACCTCTGTTGTATGCGTGGTCTCTCCTCCAACAGATTCGTGCATTGTGACATCTACAAAATGTGTTGAGTCGTAAATGACACATAAATTTAGACGAATTTGCTCAAAAAGACAATTAATTTTACCTTCGTTGGTCGGGGCTGATTCGAGAGCTCCACTACTGGTACCTGCTTCTTTTAATTTGACTAAAAGGAGAGAAAGCGCACAGGTCATTAGAGGAGGCACACGGTCCGACTCATTCATTTCTCGGATTTCTCTTCCGAGAGGAGAAAGATCAGTACCTGTGTCCGCAGCTGATGGATCAACGTCAGGAGTGGGTGGAACGTCAGCTGGTCCTTCTTTCAGAACATCTTGCATTTGCTGGACGAAGCTGGTCTCCTCAGTCTCCATACCTCCAGGAGAAGCAGCTCCAACTCGATATTCTCCCTCTTCTTGACTCTCTACAGAAATTGGAAATGAAATGAGTTCGAGCATTAAAAAAAAATGTAAGAGAGATAAAAATAAATAATTACCTAGTTCATCAGAAGAAACATTACGACCAGAGATATCTTCTACGGCAGAAAGATGAACGCGCGGTTTAGAAGCAGCTTTCTTTTGTTTCTTCGGTGGATGTGCTTCAGGACCTTCGTGACGACGTTTGGTGCGTAATTCAGTTCGAGGAGGAATTTGGGTTTGAGCTTGAGTGGGAGGTCGTGATCTTTGTCGACGAGCAAGAGGCACTTCATCCTCTTCATCCTCTTCGTCCCCACTGAGAATGTCTACCGTCATCCGATTAGGATAGGTCATGACGACCCTCTCTCCCCGTTTTCTCGAAGTAGCTTGTGATTGAGTAGGAGCAACAGATGGGCACACAAGTCCTCTTTCAAAGAAAGAATCAGAAAGACCCGCTCTTTCATCAGAACTTGAGCTAGTCTCACCCGCCTCCTCGGAAGTCTCCGTCTCCTCAGAGTCAAATTCTTCTTCACTACCGACTGAGCGAGCCGGTTCCTTTCCTTTCCTTGATGATTCAGCAGCCTCTTTTCCTCGAGGCGACATCACAGCTTCGCGAGGCAGTTCTGCTGCTTGCCGTGGAGCTATTTCTTCCTCTGAGTCTGATATCCTCCTACGTCGAGTGACAATATTGGTGGCTATCAGCCATTTACAAAAGAGGAAAGTCATCCGTAGAGGCGGCGTCTCTAAGGGGAGATCAAATTCAACATTGGTGCAGCCGGCAATGCTCCAAAACCAAGCTCTCGCCCCGTCGATAAGTCCACCTCGAAAGCTGAGGTGACGATTCGGGTTGCCGATGTATATCTGATCATACCCGAACTGACGGGCGAATCGACATGGAAGATAGGGTTCGATGTGGCAAACATCCCTTATCCTGAACAACAGATATCCAGGTCGAATATTCATCAACCATCTGAAGCACCCGACATCCAAGATGGTACGATTCTGCCTTGGGTCTTCAGCATCCACTAAGGTAGTGTTGTAAGTACCGGAGAACTGAGGGAAGCAAGGAAAAAATTCCCAACATTTGTGAATTTTAAACTGCCTCGTTATGTCCGGCTCTCGATGTTTGCTCCATTTGCAATTCTCGAGATTTTGCAACAGAGGGACACTGAGATCTACCGTATCAGGAGCCTCCATTAAATCTGGTCGATGAAGTACCAACCAGGCCATTAAGTAAGTATAGGGCAGCTCCAGCTTCGGAACGGACAGGCTGGCGGAAGGTTTCTTTTTCTCCTGGGTAAATGCGGAGATTAGTTGCCGCAATCCACTATGAATATCGGCCACCATAGCGGGAAGCAAAGATAATTTGCGACCTGTAGCCAGCTGGACGGCCGGATACAACACTTCCATTGGCATCGCATCTGCGGATTGATGGGGAACTACACATCTCTTTAACCATAAGGCTAGAAAACCCGCCAGCAGAGCAGTAGGGCTAATCGGAACACCAGCTTGCCACAGATAAGAGCGGAACTTAGTGCCGTGCAAAAATCCATCTTCTGAGCGCGAAGTATAAGAATGCGCGTTGGTTTTCTCTAACAAACGGTTAATTTCATCCGTACTCAAGGGAGACAATCCGCACACATCTGCCGAACGGACATCCAGGTTCTTGAAGAGATAATCAGCGAATTGTTTTAAACTGACTTGAGGAGACTTCTTTCTGGCTTTGGGCTCCATCTCGGCCATGGCTATATGATAATGACAGGTCAATTCCCATAGAGTGTCATAGGTCGCAGTCGAGCTATCTTTCATCTTAATCAGCTGATTGGTGGTCGGAAAGAACTCTTGATATGGGACATCGCCCATAGGCAAAGCAGACACTTGCATCATTTCATGCAGTGGTAGTCCAAGTTCCCCGTTCTTGGTAAAGAATGTATTGGTGTCCGGGTTGTAGATCTCGAACAAACAAAGGAAATGACTTACACTGCTCTGCAAGCCATGCATGGTGGCACGAATCGGGACATCCAACCCTAATCCTGCTAATTCTCGCCCAAAACGTTTCAACACATATTGGGTCATCCTGGTCCACCACCACTTGTTCCCAGAATAATGGACCCATCCATAACACCTGAAAGTCTCTCTGGGCAATCTTTTTCCTGCTGCCGCTAACCGGTTCTTCACAGTGTTGGCTTGCACTATCTTTTCGTTCTGAGGAATATTGTCTTGTCCTAAGACACCCGGATGAAGTCCTCTCACATGAGCTCTTTCACTGGAACCTGGAGTTGCTTCCTTTCCAATGAAACCACAATGAATGTGCTCGTGGTTTTCGGTTAATTTCCAGAACATCTCTCGTCCAACTGATAGGTTCCTGAACATTAACAGTGAATGATCCCGAGGGATAAAAGGCAGATATAAGAATGATGATCCACTCTGGTGCAACCATTGCGCAGGCTGGCAGAAAGCAATCTTCGGATCTTTTACCGAGTCACCAAATAAGAAATCTGGCTTCCTTATGCATTGATTCGAGTCTTGCTCCGAGATCAAGGGCGCATCTGTGATTAATCGTCGTAGAACACGACAACTACCTCGCTGGATTAATTCACTATCACTTCCGTTATAATCAGATTTAAACTGGGGAGAGAATTCAATTAACGGGATCCCCTCGTAATAAGAGTGGGTCACGCTACTCCGGCCAGTAATCACATCAGCAGTAAATGTGGTAGAAGGAAATCGGACTGATAAAAGAGGCATACACATAAATGGTGTAAGTGTCATCCTAAAATTTTAGAGAAAAAACGGTATATCTCATTCTATAAGATATAGTCGTTATCTCATAACAGGTGTGACGATTTTCTATCCACCATATGTATAAAGGAGGTATGCGGGCATTATAACGGCATACCAAAACCTTTCAATACATATGGGATGATGTAAAATCGCCCCTGTGTATTATGAAGTGTGTTTTGTCAAAGCAAAACAAACACTTTTAAGCGTCGATCCCCTCAAAGGAGGATACCGGCTCTTCTCGAAGGTACCTCAAAGGATACAAACGAGGATCTGCAAGCAAATACAGGTGCATATATATATGGAATGGACGAAATACAATATTTAAATTCGTGAAAAGGTGAAAGAAATATACCTCCACGTGAGGGTGCAGCAGGGGCAGCCTCCTCAGGGCTCTGAACAGTCGGTCGGATTCCCTTCCCTCGAGCTCTACGTGGCGACATGATGAGTATGTGATCTACATTGAAATCCAAGAGGAAGGTTAAGATTTTGAACATGAAATCGACAAAAAATAGGACAAATACAACTGAAATGCTGCATGCACAGTCACAGGTTGCCAAAAGTCAAGATTTTGAAGAAAAGAGGGGAAACAGACCTTTCAAATCCAAATGAAATCTCTTCAAATCGAAGCACCACCCAAGTCAGAAACGAAGAGAAGAAGAAGAGGTGAAGAACTGGTCGAAAATCGCTCGAAAATCGCCCAAGAATCGCCTGAAAATCGCCAGAAAATCGACGTGAAAAACCCTAAAAACCCTAAGTCCCGACTTATATAGCAGCCGGGCGAGACAGGAAACTCTGTCTCGCTGAGCGAGACAGACAACTCTGTCTCGCCGAGCGAGACAGAAAACACTGTCTCGCCCAGCGAGACAGAAAACTCTGTCTCGCCGAGCGAGACAGTAAACTTTTCTGTTTTGCACTATGGAACAGTGGAATACTCCAATGGGTACACGAGTCTAAACTGTATTCCCACCCTCAACAGGAAGTTTCTGGAGAATATTAATCTGAATATTCTTAAGGATAACCTGAGGAATTCTCAATGGATATACCAATTCAATGGTAAACGCTGAATTCACAAGAGCAAGTATCAACTTCAATTCAAGATCTCGACAACGGTCAAGCGATAAACGCGACGCCGGGAGAACGTTAGCTATTCTACGAAGAACTGGATAGACTAACAGCAGAAGAGGTTAAACATTGAAGCCATTTACAAGTCCTTTCATACGATCTATTCAGCCAAGCATTGAAGGGATCGTAAGTAAAATCTATCTTATCCAAAGTATCCCATGCTCCTCTATAAAAGAATGAGTCTGGAATACTTTGGAGGGGGTATCTGTAGGCGTCAAAAAATGCTAATAGATATCCCAAGCATAGAGAAGATCACTCAAAAATTCACAAGAAAGGATTTCATACTGTTTTGGAAAAATCAAAACAAGTATGAACTGTCTCGCCAGCGAGACAGTCTTTGCTGTCTCGCCAGCGAGACAGTGTTGAAATAGTCAAAACTACATTTGTAACTGCCCTACACGTGTCCATTAACTGCCAAGGGACGTGGGAAACATCATGGGCGAAAATCACGTGGATAACTGCCAAAATAACGGAGTTTGAAACGTGGGAGAGCGGTTACAGCGAGAAACTGTCATTTTCCGAGACAGTATTTACTGTCTCGCTGGGCGAGACAGCAAAATTACTGTCTCGCGGAAACAGTTACAGCGAGAAACTGCCATTTTTTTCGAGACGGCATTTACTGTCTCGCTGAGCGAGACAGCAAATTTACTGTCTCGCGGGTCGAGACAGCAAACGCTGTCTCGCCCAGCGAGACAGTAAACACTGTCTCGCCGTACTGACTTCTTCGATTGTTAAGTTTTTGCAGTTACAGACCCTTGAGGCTATAAATACCCCCCTAGGGTCACTTCTGACGAGGATCGAGCATTTGTTAGAGCATTCCAGAGCAGAGAGAGCAGAGATTTGAGTTCTTTTCTTGCAACGCCTTGAAATTAAGCTTCGACTTGATTTTAAGAAGAACGACTATCTTACTTCGATAAGATATCGTTTCAATTTCTACTTCGATAACGAAGTTAGAATCATAAGCCCCCTCTTCACGATCTGTGAATCGGCGGTCCACGAACCAAAGCGTTCCCGGCACAGGCAAAGTCCCACGAAAACGAGAATTGATAGACGATTTTCGTGTTTGTTTCTCAAGAGTTGTAATTTTTGATTTGTTGTGTAGAAAAAGTCTTATAAAAAGATTATTCTTTCGAATTTGTTGTAATCGAACAAAGTTATAATGAATTCCACAGCAGCGACTTTTGAACCAAACATTGATGAAATCATATAAATGCATATAAGTATGAAACAAAAATATATTTTCCAATTGTATTCAATTGTTTCATAATAAAACTTGAAAACTATCAAACCAAAACATATGTATATATATAACTATATATATACATGGAAACCAATAAATGTGTGTGTGTATATTATATTGAGCTTAAGGTATTAACACACATAATATAAACTCCTAAACTAAATTATCCAAGCTTGATTGATCTTCGATGTAGCTCAACTTGGTACACTTGTGGATGAAGCTTGAACTTGAATCTTTAACTTTGAATTGCGTAAGCTTCACTCCACAATTCTGCCAACCTCCATTTGATATGATCGTGAATGTTCGATTTCATCCATCCTCCAACTCATTGTTTGCCTAGAATAAATACAAAAACACAAATACTAGACAAACAACATTAGAAGTAAATTGTTTGTTAAACATCATCAAAACAAGAAGGCTAACAGTCATCACATGTTATCCCATCGTCATCATCTAGTCAACTACGGTCACCCTACAGACCATCTCTCCACCGCTAGCACATTGCGCGCAACCTGTTATCCGCCTCTTTGTCGCTAACGATCCCCTCTCCGTCATCCGCCTCTCCGTCGGCAACGCGCCTATCTCCACCATCCGTCTCTTTGCCGCCAGCATGCCACCGTTGCCCCTAATGTTTTCAAGGTATTATCTTTTGCTAATTTCTAATTTTTATTATAATTTTATGGGTTATGCTTTGCTCCTATATGAAAATTTCAAAATAAAAAAACTTAATCTTACCCTAATTAGAATGATCTACCCAAATTGATCCTCATCATAACCCAATAGCATTATCTTAAGCATATAAGCCTGATTAAGCTCACTTTAAGTTAACCCTAACCCAAGCTTATCTAACTAATTAAACTTATCTAGCCAAGTGTATAAACCTAATGCAACTAACTTTAACCCAAAACTTTGCATTTTTCTATCTATACTTAACTAGTTTAACTTTAATAACTTTAAACCTAACTTTAGTAACTCAATTAAATTAATCTACCGAAAATAATCCTAATACTAACCCTAATCACATTACCTTATGTATAGAACCCTAATTAAACTAACTTTATCCTTTTTCCTACCCTACTTCCATATATAATAGTATTAATTAAACTTTAGTTAGCCTATTTCTAATCTAATAACCCTAATTGAACAAATCTAATCAAAATAGTCCTAATTATTACCTTTAATTTATTACCCAAGTCAATGACTCACCTAATTAACTAACTTTTACCCAAATTTGATCTTAACTAAATCTAATTAATTAATTTAAATATATATTACTCTAATCCTAACACTATGAACTAACTTCTAAAAATAATCCTAATACTAAACCTAATTACATTACCTTAGGTCTAGAATCCTAATTAACTAACTTTAAACTTAATATGATCAACAAAGTAACTTAACTTTAAGTACCCTCATCATTTTAAATGTAAAAACTCTTGATAACTTAATTTAACCATAATATTTATAATCCTAACCCAAAGAACATCACCCTAAGTGTGGAACCCTAAATAAACTAACGTTAACCATTAATCCTAAATTTAATTAAAATAATTTTACTTTAAATCAGCTTTAGCCATTAGTCCTAACTAACCATATTAAATATTGCTATAATGATATTCAATAAAAATAAGCCTAATGTTAATAATATTATATGACTCTGGTCTATCATCTTAACTAAACTCACCTTAGTCATATTATCATTTTAATCCAATTCAAAGTAAACTGGACTTTATCCTTAAATAACACTAATACAACTAGGATTATATTATCATAAGTCTAAGACTCTAATTAAACTAAGTTTAACATCTATTTGTAATCTACCCTACCCTAATCAAACTAATTAAATAGTGATTGTTATGATAAATCATTCTGTTGTTATTGATGTATTCAATTTGTTAGATATATAACATCGTATTGTGTTATATATCATGATTATATTAATCAAAGTCGTTAACCCTAGTTTCCCGTCTAATAATGTTGGATGTCAATTTCTTCTAACATAAACGCACGCGATTCTAATTGGATGTATACTTTTTATATCTAAAGAGAATAACGTGATTTATGTTAGGAGCATAATCTACATACAATAAATATTAGATCTGTCCGAGGAGGATTCCCCTTCTCATACAAGTTAGAAATACAGTAGTGTATCATCTATCTTTGTATACTTTATGTATTTTTGTTCTTTAAAAATTTCAATAACATATACTGCAATGTTCTCCATGTACAATAAGTGTATGTTGTTTTGTATATCGATCTATTATCGATCATTAATACGCATTATAATATCTGCATAGTGTAGTCGGAGAACAGTGAGTATGTGCTACTGAAATTTTCTAGAAATAAAAATGCATAACGTATGCAAAGGTAGATGTGTGCAATACTATATTCCTATGGATAAACTCATTTCCTACGATAGCCATTAAAGTGTCTTATTCAAAATATGGGTGTTTGATTTTAGAAAAACATAATTTATGTTCTGGTAATTCCCCCTCTGAGATTATTATGATTTGTATTTCCTCGATGTTGTAAAAAAGTTAACATTACCCAACCATTAATTTAATGCCTAAATTATTAATTTCACATTACCTAATTATGCTCCATTTTATTAATTAAAAATTATATATAACATATAGATGATGATAGTTCCCGATAAATCATAGGTCGATATTCCTCGTATTGAGAGATAGAGGAACAGTCGATATAAAGACAGAAAAAAATTCTTTCATATAGTATGCCCTGGTAGATCCAAGAAAGTTACATAGTAATATCATGTATTGTCCTTGTTGTTAGTGTAAAAATTTAGTATTGGTGTTTAAAAGTGATTTACATAGACCCTTAATATCAAGATTTTATGAGTACAAATATTAGACATTCATGGGGAAGAATGTCTTGAAGAAATGGAACTGATGGTGGAAACCAATACGTCCGAAGGATAGATGATACACAGACGATGCTTGCTAATATGATAATGGTACCTAATATAGATGAAATTGAGATGTTGAGGATGTTGAAATTGCAGGAATTATTGAAGGTGTGAATGATCCTGAGGAGCTGGCACAGATTGGGAAATGAATAGAGGATAATAAAAATGATATGTATGAGGGTTGCACCAAGTTCACCAGATTACAATTTATGTTGCGACTTTTGCATATAAAGTCCCTTAGCAGAATGGCAAATAAATATTTCAATATGTTGCTTGTGTAGCTGAGAAAAGTGATTCCAAATAGAAAAGAGACCATACCAAAAAACTATAATAATGCAAAGAAGATTGTTTCTGTTATAAGACTTGATTACAAAAAGATTGACGCATGCCCTAATGATTGCACCCTCTACTAT